TTCGTGACGTCATTTGAGGGCACATGCATTGCAGCTCTTGAAAGATCGAGTCTTCTACCGAATAAAAAAAAATGGCTCTTGTTATTTTGCTTGCCGACCCCTGGACTAGAGGCATCAGTGTTGGCATGGCATGACCTCGATCAAGTCGTACGCTGTCAATGTATGATCATTCCGATGGTTCCACAATTTACTTCGAGTCTCTCGGACAACACGCGAACCTTGTTCCAATATTTAATCATTCGCACATGCAGTGTGCGAATGATTAAATACATGAAAAACCAGCCTCCCCTGGACCCCAACCGCTTCCTCCCACCGGGGACACCCTGGCCATGGCATTGCTGCCATCACCACCGGCCAGCACTTGCCATGGCCGCCCAACACCACCCTGTCATGGCATGGGCGCATGACAGATTTCACAACCGTGGGGTGACAACAGTAAAACGAGGATTGAGCCCCGCGGGAGCAGTGCTGATCCTGTAGAAGGCCGGCGCTGGCAGGAGTGCAAAAGTCACCACAAGCCATCTGTGACCATCAGATCGGTCCCACTGCATCCGGCTGGATCCAGCTGCTGACTAAAGAGAGTCCCTTCACGTGATCTGTGTTATTCTGTTTTTTTACTCTCAGAGGCCACATGAAAGGGCCACGGAGCCAGCAGTATTTTTAGATAACGTATCGGGGGGGGGGTTTCTGTACAGTTTGAGAGAATAACATGGCTATAGTGTGTATGAGGGGCGGATGTTATGCAGTTGTCAATGATTGGATTGTATGCTGTATGGGTAAATCAAGCTCACCAGGATGCATAGCCTGTGATTGTCACTTTGTGTGTACAGCAGCGCAACCCCCGCTGTATGGTCCTGCAGTTATAGTAAATTACACCTATTTTATGGTCTCGTACAATGTGCGTGATCAGACTGAAGAGCAGTCCACAGGAGATCTATTCATTCTTACGGCACCGCCTCTCAGTGGTGCATTCACGGGACGTGGCTCGAGGTCCCTAAAGCGGGGAGGCCAAGCGCGAAGACTGAACGTGCTCCGGTTCCGCCGGGCGACAGCATGGGCCGGCTTGCGAGCTCGCCGTGCGACTACATCTGCAAATTGCGACATTACGCGATGTTTACGAACACGCTGACCCTGTTGAAAATCAAGATTACTGTACTTGCATTTTTTTCTTCCCACGCCCTGACAAAAACCTTCCAATGGAAAAAAACATCATCCTCTCTAGAGCTCATTTACTGGAACACAGAATACAAGTGCAATGCCAACAGGCCCACTTTAGGAAATTCACTCAGAAATTCCACATACTGTACCCTCCAAACATTTGCACATTGAGCAGCAGCAGCAGCAGGTCCTGTGAGAAGATTCTAAAAAGGGAAACAATAAACTTTATTTTTTAACAGCAACCGTGAAACTGTGCAGGGGGCCCCAATCGCACGCAACTGGGAGCTGGTGCAGCGATTCATCACGGCGCTTGGGAAACTTAAGCATGCCTGGATATTGATCAAGTGGCCCTATGGAGAGACGGCGCACTCCTGCAACGCAGCGACAAGACAGCCTGCATCGGGAGTGCAATAGGAGCTTGCAGATGCAGGGGATGCCTCTGCCCGAGCGCTTGGACTTTGTTTGGAGAGTCTCCCTGTTGAACTAATTAAAGTACAGCATAATAAATGTATTGCATGCACAAATAGAAGCAGTGCAATTTGGGCAACCTTTCACACAGTTATTGCAGAGTTGATATGGTACGTTGTGCAAGCGTAATGACAGTAAAGTCAACCTACGATTGTGAGTGAACTAGTTGCCACGGGAGGTAATGACAGGGGAGTCAGCCTGCAATGCGAATGGACTGGTGGCTACGGGAACGATCGAGAATTGGAGCGTGGCCAGCTGACGGAGAAGAACGGTAGAGTCTGCTGGTAGAGCGAGCGGTCTAGAACCAGCGAGAAGGTTCGGGAATGAGAGCGTGGCCTCGGACCGTCTCAAAGGGAGATGCGTGCGAGACTCGGAGCTGTTGCAGTGGGGTCACCGGCCTGTCTGTCTGTGTGTGAGAGCTCAGAGCTTCTTAATAAAGAAACCATCTCAGGACAAGTGCGTCGAAGTCGTCATTACACACAAGTGTGCAAAATAGAGCTAAGGCTCATTAAAGTACAGCATAATAAATGTACTGAATGCACGAATAAAAGCATAGATGCAATTTGGGTAACCTTTCACAGAGTTGTTTCAAAGCCTTTACTAAAGCACGAGTGTGCAAAGATAGAGGCAAGGCTTCGCAGCAGACCGGACAAAGCCACACATGCTCTCAAGGGTATTAAAGGAAGGGCACGTTTTGGGGATGTGAACCTTGGACTGAGAGATCAACCGCAAGGCAATGTGTGGTACACGGCCCTTGCAGGCATATGACGTGGAAAGCGAGAGGCTGGAAAATATTTAACTGCGGCAATCTGGCAATTGAACACATGTCATGTAGCAGAGCACATAATCACCAAGCTCAAACACTGTTAGGGAGGGCATGATACCTCAAGTGCTAAGTGCGTGGGGTACACTCAATGTAATAGCTTATACGTAACGTTTCATAGCTGGTGATACCACAAGTTTCAGATTTACGTCTTCAGACCTACACAGGGAGTTTCTAAGCACACATTAACATTATTTGGTATATTACGCCATCATGAGCCATGTTCGGTCCACTCGGGCATAAATTAAGTGCTTCGCACGGCGAGAGCCTTTGTGGGGTGTCTGCAATGATCGCAATGCATATCCACAGTCCACATGTGCCCAGATATAATCAGTCTACAGCCACAATGTGTGGTTGACTAGATTTCTACTAGGACATTGGGGCTCGTGCAGCTCATAATGCCCATATTAATCGACTGTTCATTAAGAGCCAGTGGGGCTAACATCATCACCATCATCAACCCATATCCACCAATCACCCCAATGACGAACACCATCACTCACCATCAACAACCTCTACCATTCACCTGCGACCACTTTAATTCCCGCACACGTTTCAGCATGTATGCTGTAGTTTGTACTTATTGTAATGTATTTATCCCGGTAGACCGACGTCTCCACACTGTCGCGTCAATTCTGAATGGCTGTGTTGTGTTTCCGCACCGAGACATGTTTGTACCATCAATTAATTAGACCAGACTCACCAGACGATGTTCTTGCAAACAGGGACCTTTGTCTCAAACGAGCAATCTAACCTATAAAGTTAATTATCTTAAAAAGGCGTTATCTCTTTATAACCTTGATTGTATAACATGACCTCTTTAAAGTTTAATCAGCCTAGCACTCCATCCCTACATTATCTCAAGCGGCCTCAAGTAAATTTCGATTAAAAGCTTTCGTGACTGCAGGGATTCATCTTCTTGGTTCTTTCGGTAAAGTAACGTAGAAGGGAAATAATAAAACATTTATTTTATCCTGTTTTATTTTTTATTATTTCCCTTCTACGTGACTTTACCGAAAGAACCAAGACGTACTCAAGTAGTGGGGCTGGCTCTTTAACCCTCCAAGCCTTTCACCCATTCATCACTCGGCTAATGCACGTGTGTGTACACACGTGCATTCACTATCCGTGCACAGTACATACACGCGTATACGTGGGTGTACGCGTGTGTGTGTATACTGATATTTGTGCGTTTCGCACGAGCGAGTGTGCTTACACGTGTATCGATGTTACAATGTGAAACTTGCGTGACTGTGTGTGCTTAAGAGCGAATTTTAAATGGGCGGTAACGCGGCAAACATTTAACGTTGGACAAACGTTGGCAAGTGTTGTAACCGGTGGACCAACGTTAGCCCAACGTCCAATGTTTACTGGGAAGTACTCGTGTGTGTACGCGCGCGCGTGTGCGTACTTGTATCAAAGATCGTGCATATAGAAGAAATGTACTCAGGCGCGTCCGTATGCGCTCCACTTGGAAGTGCGCGCATATACCCATCTGTGTACATGTCAAGACGAGTACTCCCACGTGGCTATTACAGTACAGAATTTGCGTGCACGTGGGCACACACGCCTCCGTTTCCAGGGGGCGCCTGTTTGAGTGCACGAATGTGTGTACCCTTCAATAGCACGTCTCGCACACAGGGCAAGTCCGTTCAAATGACGTGCGCACATGAACACACGCACGGACGTGCACTCACCAGTTGCCCGAGCCCACGATGCACACCTTCTTGGGAGTTGCCATGCCTAGAGCGAGGTGGAGCGACGGGTAACACAGAAGGGGAAAAGTGCTGCTGTTGTTGCTGCTGCTGCTGCCGTCACTGACGACCCCACCACCATTCGTGCTGCAACAGCACCGCGCACAACACGAGCTTCCACGTGTGCGCGCCTAGTAATGCTCTCAGCGACTGAATAAGGGGGTGCGGCCTATAGCAGAGGGGGGCGGGGCCTATGACAGGGGGCGCGGCCTATAGCAGGAAGGCGCAATGATAGGGGGCGGAACTTATAACGGGGGGAGGCGGGGGCTGTAACAAAGGGCGGGGCTTATATATGAGAAGGCGTGGCCTAACATACGGTGAGGCGGGTTTAACTGAGAGAAGGCGTGGCCTAACAGACATGGGGCGGGGTTTAACTAAGGGGGCGGAGTTGTACAAAAAAACCTGAACCCGGAGGGCAATTTGTCGACACATCTAAAAATAAAGTCATGGCCATGTTCGTATGATGCACACGTGATGAATGAATATCGTTACAAAAAGAATGTAACACATGTGGTATGTCTGACTACAGTGTATGCATGTGGAACTACTTGTCGCACCGAAGCCACTGACGTTTTCGGGCGTAGCAACATCCACAGGCCACGATCTACGCAGGAAGGGGCCATTGCCCGGAACGTCGCCTACTAACGGTGCTATATATATAGATATTTGTTCTTCGCGTTTCTGATGTCAGGTTGTTTGACGATACACACGCGTTACGTAACGTTCGAGGTCCTACTGAGTGTGGCCGGCAGGCGATTGGCCGGTTTAGCGTGGGCGGAGCTCGCAGCGTGAGAGGGGCGGGGCCCCATCGCGTCACGCGGGGTCGGAGGTCACAGGCGTCGGCCACCACCGCCACCACCAACCCACCGGCCGTGATTTGTGGTTTATTTTTGATGTCGCCTTTGGACCGCGTCGTCGTTACGAAGAATCGATTCGTCCGTCAACGCCAATCCCGTCGTCAGTCACGGGCGATGATTTCCGCGCGCGGTGTGACGCCGAGCGCGGGCGAGCGACGCCGCGGCTGTTGACCGAGCGGGAGGCGAGGGGCCGCGATGTCAGCGGGCGGCGGCCCAGGGACCCGGGCCGAGGCTGAGATTGGCCCCGAATTTGGGCCAGGGGCCGGGTCAGTGTCTGGTTCAAGATCAGAATCTGTACTTGGATCTCGACCAGGGTCTGGCTTAGGCTTAGAACTTGGATCAGTGGTAGCACCTGGGTCTGAAGCTGGCTTTGGGTCAGTCCCCGCGTCTGAGTCTGGCTTTGGGTCTGGCTCTTTATATTGGATTGAGTCTGAGCCTGCGTCGGTATTTGGACCGCGGGATGGGTCCGTGCCATTGTTTGGATCGGAACATGGAATTGGACCTGGGTCTAGTCCTACTACTCCGTGCACTTTGGGGCCTGGGAATGAGCCAGTGCCAAGGTTTGAGTCTGACCCGAGACCAGATTCTGTCTTAGGATCTGGCTCTGAAACAAGTTTAGCCGGATCTGGGTCTCGGTCAGGATCAGCAACAGAGTCTGGGACAGTATCTGAGCCAGAGTCAGGCACGGAACTCGCACAAGGACTGCGTGCGGACATGATGGGGACGCCCATGGAGCAGGAGGAGGACATGGTGACAGACGCCGCGGAGATCCGCGCGCCCTGTAAGCCACCAGCACACAACTCGGAGCACCAGCGACAGAGGTAAAGGGCAGCTGCCGTCTTTTTAATATTAACACTTTTCTCTAATGATGGGAATAATGCCCCCCCCCAATGTTTAAAGCTATTTGAATGCGAAGTTACGCAGCAGCAGCTCCTCAGAGATGTGCTGCTGCTGTTGACAGTGGTTACTGAAAGCACACTGTGCTGTGAACCCGGCGACTTGAACTTGATTGCTGGTCATGGTTAATATAAGTGGCGAATGGTCCCTTTAACTAACCCGCACTTACCAACGCAGTGCAGTGGTCAAAATAACCCCCATGACTTATGCAGTGTGGGGAGACTTTAATCTAGCAGTGGATTGCCAATTGGCTGTTAATGATTATTCTTGCTCTGTGAGCTATGAGAGTGAATAATGCTAAAGATAATGCATTAATCGATATGTAATTCATTGCCCTGTTTTCTTGTAGCAGTGAGTGGGAGAATCTGACTGGCTACCTACAGAAGTACACCAACCTGGTGACTGGTTGGCAGTTCAGGTGAGTGGCTCTGACGGAGCAGACATTGATTTCAGTAAGACAGAATTGCAATGGGAACGGTGTGGGCATTAAAATAAGGAAATGTGTAAAATAAGGAAATGTACAGTAGAACCCCCCCTCCTAACGACGGTAACTTTTTTTTATCCACGAAACCGATCGTTAAACTAACTTTCTAATATTTAAACAATAGATTTTAATACATAACGATACTAACAACACTAGAAACACATAATATTAAAATAGACATGGTTAATCAATGCATTAATTAATATTTTTTACTGTATCCACAACAGCCCGTCATTAACAGGGGAATGAATGGTCGGTAAGCGAACACATTGGGCTATATGGAGGCACGTCGTTAAGCGATTAGTCATGAACAGGGGTTGTCGTTACGAGGGGTTCTACAATACACTACTATACACTACACTACTATACACTACACTACTATACACTACACATTGGGCTCTATGGAGGCACGTCATTAAGCGATTAGTCATGAACAGGGGTGGTCGTTATGAGGGGTTCTACAATACACTACTATACACTACACTACTATACACTACACTATACACTACACATTTGGCTATATGGTGGCACGTCATTAAGCAATTAGTCATGAACAGGGGTGGTCATTACGAGGGGTTCTACAATACACTACTATACACTACACTACTATACACTACACTATACACTACACATTGGGCTATATGGAGGCACGTCATTAAGCGATTAGTCATGAACAGGGGTGGTCGTTACGAGGGGTTCTACAATACACTACTATACACTACACTACTATACACTACACTATACACTACACATTGGGCTATATGGAGGCACGTCGTTAAGCGATTAGTCGTTAACAGGGGTTCTACTGTACAAGCATTCCAAGTGCACTGTCCCAGGTTGGGCTGCCAAATGAGATTTGTTTCTTCTCAAGCTTGCACAACACGCACAGCGTATCTCTATTCAACTCCTGACTGGACACAGTAGTGCATGACGAAAGCTTAAGAGAAAAAGTGCTCAACATGCAGCCCATCTCCGGAAAACCGCATTTGGATTACAAGCGTCTGCAAACAAGCACACGTGTTAAATTAGATGATAATTATTATTTACTTGTATGTACTTTAACGAGCAGTTTGTATTTGAGGACCCTCTTGAAAACAATCTGGGACTCAGTGAGGCTTTGCAGGACAAAGGGCATTTTTTTAACTTTGCTAATATGTTCAATCACAAATTAGTTCAGTAGTCTCAAGCATGCCACTATTAAGAGCAAATTTGTGTCTAGACTGAACATGCAATTGAATTAACAATTAAATACATTCATAATATATGCATTGTGTGTGTATTCATATATTATTTGGAGGATATGCTAATTCTATGCTATTATATGATATGCCACGAGAATGAGCCAGAACAAGACAGAACATTTGATGTAGGCAATATAAATGAGACATTACAAACTAAAAAAATATGTTCTGAATTAAATCGTGCCAAGCGCTTGAATCGCTGTGGGGGTTAATTGCTATATGCCGAGTATGGATGCCACTGCACTGCAGATATTTCGTGCTGGTTGGAGCTGAGGGGCGTCTGGAGTATCACGTGCATGAGCATAGTGCACAGGGAGGCCAGAAACCACGGGGCACCATTGCTCTGGCAGGCGCTGTGACCTCTCCCAGCGAGGAGGAACCCTATGCCTTCACGATCATCACCTTGACTGGGGAGCAGTACCGCCTGAGGGGTACTAACTACCACACACACCTCCGATTCCCCACAACCTCGAATTAGCACGGTTGGCTATGTATGGTGTGAAAAAATTGGATTGCGAGTAACTTGGTCTGCGAGTGTTTTGCAAGACGAGCAATTTTTTTAAATAATATTAATTTGATAAACGAACGAGGTCTTGCAATGAGTAGTGCGTATACGCTTTGTCTGCCGAGCGTCACGTGATCACAACTGATATACGAGTGCTTTGATATACGAGTGCTTTGATATACGAGTGCTTTGGATTACAAACTCGTTTCTGGAACGAATTATGCTCGCAATCTAAGGTTTTACTGTACATACAAATGGATGGTACAGCAATGACTACTCCGGTTGAGTGTGGTTTGATACCTGCTGCTTCCTATTTTAAAATCTGTACGGTGGAATTTGTGATACTTTTTCAGATCCTCTGCATTAAAGGTACGTGCACATCATATAAGGAGAACAGCACACATGTATACTTCGATAAGCACTCCATAAAGTAGATTTCAGTATTGATAAATTAGTGAATATCAAAGCCTAAAAAATATATTGTTTTGGCAGCATCGAGGACTTGTACAATGCAGGGCATATTGTACATTGCTATTGTTTATATAACTGCACTAAGGTTGAATTCTTAAAGGTAAATACCTAGTTAAAATGAATATCTTTTATTTAACCACATTTTATAGGTTACACCAAGGACAAAAAATCTGTTGCTTTGGTAAGTGCGATTCTCAAAGCTTGCTATGAATTCCCCGTGGTAACAACTCCATCAAAAAATAGATTCTTCATTATCAACACCAAACAAGTGACAGCTTTATGTCTCATACTCAGGACTGCTGTTGACCTTCACTTTTCAACTGGATCTGTTTCATGTTCTATAGTAGACAGAATTTGGGTATGTTACACGATGGGGGGCAGCCTATTTGACAATTTGGCTGCTGTAAATTTCCACTTGATGAGCCACCTCGTTGGGCTTATGTGTGGCCAGGTCGCATCTGAAAAAGAGCTATACAGCTCAGTGGGCTTTGCCTGGTAAATGAAAATAGTTACATTTTAGTGTATTTACATTTTTACATGTATATTCCTAGATTAATTATGTCTGTTAAACACAATTTGCCCTGAGGTGTATGTACCTGTTAAATGCTGATTAACTATTCCCATAGGGCACCTATAGACTGCCTATCTTTGTTCATTTCCAGAGTAGACCTTCATGAAATATAGGAAGAATTAATTAATTATCTATGCAACAGCAGGAACATCAAAAATAAGGCAATTTTCATGGCAATGTTTTGTCTGCATGGACCTGTCATAGCTCACACACTGCTGAATGTGTTTTTGAAGCTTTGAGGCAACATTTTTGAAAATACAGTTGATCTTGTACCCTTTGAGCCAATGGATATTTGACATTCATATTTGCTGAAGCGGCCAAGCTCTTCTTTTTTCTAAGCAATGCCAACATATCAAGTTGAGGGCAGAACATTCTCATTGTCCTACAGGTCTTCCTCTATGACAACATGAAAAAAATAATTTCAACAACTACCAATCAAAAAGTTGTATTTACTCTTGGCTGCTTGATATACAGCAGTGGTATCATGGGTTTTACGTGCATTACACTCGAGCGTTAGAAGACTGGATGACACAGAGAGATGTATTGGGTTCAGCAGCCGAGTCTTTGGTTCATTAACTTAATCAACATGTGCGCACGGTTCAGCTGTCATAGGCCGGCATAGAGCATGCTTCTTTATATTGATGAGCTAGAAGCAAGTGCTGCAGCGTGACGTGACTTGACATACTGCGTTGTGCCTGGAACAGCCAAGGACGCGCGGGAAAGACAGCACTGGGTGAGCCGCCTACAGGGGTGTGCGCAGCACCACACTGATTGCATTGGCATGGTGAGCTCTAGATGTCTGTACCTCTCCACACTGTGCAGAAATACACCATGTCGTTTGCCCATTGTGCCCCATGCAGTCTAGCCGGCAACTTTACGATGGAAATATTTGCAGGAATTGTGCGTTTCCCATGCTTAGCTCTAGGTTAACTGTCACAAGCTCAAAACTAATGTGTTGAGAATTTGTATTTACGTAAAATATTCCACAATATTCGAATTGCATGCCACTGTGTGCGTAGATCAAAGAATATTGAAAATTGTTTGCAGTAATTCAATTCACCACTTGCCCTTTTCTTTAATGCCTCCCACATGTATCGGGAATTGAAGGCGACACATCATTTACATGAGGGTGATGTAGGTGATCATGTTTATGCTGTTGTGTTGATATCTGTTGGTGTGTGTGTGTCAGATGAATCCTGTGTTGGGTCATGAACTCTACCTCTCGGGGGTCAAGAGGTCAGCGCTATCTCCTGGGGCCTTATTGCGAAGGCCATATGCGACAAGGGAGGATGCAATTGCAGATAAAAGACACTCATATCCAGGCAGCAAGACTTTAATACATGGAAACAACTGGCTGTCCGATGCACAGTGGGTGAGTCATGCGAAATTACGATAATACTTTGCGATTAAAAAAAGTGTCAAAACATTTGTGACCGTTTGAAATGTTGGTCCCATGTAAAAAAATTTTTAATAGGATTTGCATACAAACTGATCTACAATGCAGTGGCTTATTACTGAAGGCTTTTTGAGACTGAAAGTGTGGCAATCTCTACTCGCAGTTACTAAAGGATGGCTTTTGGGTTTGTTGAATATGTTTATTATCCCCTACATTTACTGTTAATTTTGCAAATCTTTGCTGTGCTGTATACTTTTTGTCTTCTTCATTTGTACGTATTTGTTTGTGTATGTTTGCATGGCAACAGTGGATTTAACATTTATTCTGCTTGCGAGGGTGCGAAGTTCACTTATTTTAACCTAGTACTCTGTGCCAGCTCATTGTCTAACTTTGCTTGCTTACAATAACTCATGAGCCAGCTCCACAAACCAATTCAGCCTACTAGTTCTACCTGCTCGTTCCTCGTACTCACACTTCTGTGCTAGCTGTGCTTGCCAGCTCTGCGCCTCCCCATAGCACTAGCACTGCTTGTAGATCAGCATGCCGCCGCCCCCCCCCCCCCCCCCCGCGTCCCAGCTTTGCGTGTGTCTGTGCCAGATGCTGGTGCGTGCCTATGAGGAGCAGCGTGCCCTGGCGTTGACCATGGAAGCTCTGCCACGCTCACACGCTCGCATCACACCGCTGGATCCTGACCTTCTTCTGCTCAAAGCATCGGCCGTCTCAGCCCTTGGCTGCCTGCACGCCTGTCTGCACCTGCTGCAAATGCAGCGTAGTGCGGCGCACACCCACCGAGGGCGGGCCAGGGTCGGTGGGGGCGGCAGAGGCAGTGACGGTGGCGGGAGTTCTCCGGGTCGGCAGCACAGTGTGGCCATGGCAGACCCTGCGGGTGAGCATCCGCCACCTCGCCTGGCCGCTTACGCATGGGAAAACTCGCTGTGTTGGCCACGCACCATGCCCATCGATCAACTCGGCATGTTTGGAGCATGCTGTTCTTCGACACAGCAGGTTTCTTTTCCAAGGGTGATGTGGAAAATATAGAGCGAACATTACATGCATTACATGAGCAAGTGGGTTAAATATGGGATGGGAGAAGATTTCAAATGATAAAGTAAGACAATCAAACATTGTAATGAAAATAAAGTAGTTTTGTAAATATTCATAAGTCTATAGAGTGCTGATTAACATTTGTACAATGCAGAATAAAATTACTTGTATCATAAAAATAAAGAATGTACATTTTTAGAGTCAATTAAACATGTTATTATTTGTATTTCAATTTAAATAAAAACAAATTTTAATTCACTTCCATTGTTTGCCTGTATTGTCTGCAATCGATGATTTATTGGATAAAATGAACCATACATTCTACTTTGCCTTTTTAAAAGGTACTGGACAAAATAAGGCATTATATTCTTACATTCGTGGGAGAAACTATATTTCCCTGAATCTAAATTATAATGACTGCTTTGGTGAAACACTTTGTGAAGGTACAGTTCACACATGCAAATGGTACACATGAACGTAAGGCTTTAAAAACTGAAAAACACGAGATTGAAAGTGCATATGAACGTTATGACGGTACCCCGGAGTACCATAGTACCCCGGCTCTCGCATGATGTCTGTGATGCAGTCATTTTTCGTCTGTTGATGGTCGGCGATGCGGCAAGTGACTCATCTTGACGAGCTGTACTCACGATGCACCACTGCGGTGCGTACGAGCGTTCAGGGTTTCGGCGCAATTGTCCTCGCCGCGTTTCGACATCGCGGAGTGTGGCACTGATTTCGGATTGATTGGTTACCCCAGTAGCAGAGTTAAGTACACCCCTGAAAATAATAGTGTCCCAGAAATAAAATATTTATTTGCCTCGGCCATTTTTTATTATTTGGTACCCCGGGGTACTGCCATAAGGATCATATGCGGGGAGACATTCTGACGTTTTAACATTGATTATGCTGTTTGTGTGTTGCAGTTATACGTGGTGAGTCCAGTTAAGGTATTCATAGAAGTCTACTGCTTATGTGTCTGTTGACCTGTTAACCAACTACGGTATCTAATTATAATTTGCCACATCAAGTGAGTATTACTTTGTTCAGAATTAGTATCATTGTGGTTTTAAAAACAAAAATAACTAACCGAAGTCCTACAATGAATGCCTCGACTGAACTTGTACATTATAGCTTCCTTGAATACAGATGCACTTGTGTCTCTTGGTGGTAGTGATGATTGTTGACTCCTCAGTAACATTGATTCTTCTAGATGTAGTGGTAAGGTATGGCTCATTATATAGAGTCGCACCATAGTGATGGATTCGATTTGAAGAAAAATAAGAGGTGATATTTACCCTGTTCTCTTGCTTTCGTCCTCTTCATTCTCACTTGCTCAGGGAGAGTCCACTCATTGCAACCTGTCGTGGTAGCCCCTGTGCCACCGTGCGATTCTGTGAACCCCGGGAACATGTGCTCTCACGCCCCAGACGGCACATCGGACACTTCTCATCATGAGTCGGAGCCAGCTCCACCACCTTCTTCTGTCTCAATGTCAGCACAGCAGGTAGGTTTGTCTCCTTGTCTTTCCCTTTCTGCCCACAATAGCTTAGATGCTGCATTGAGATTTAGTGCATTATTGGTTTACAAGCAGTCCTCGGACTTACATTGGGTTACTTTCATAGGAACAGGTGCAGTAAGTCAAGACGACGCATGTGTCGAGACTGATTTGCCCACAGAAACTGATATAATGGGGGGTTGTGTTTATGACCAAGGGTCTGTTGCGTTCATGACCAAGGGTTTGGTATGCAACTTTTTATATGTCTTAACGGAATTTATATAGCGCCTTAACATATGAATGCAATGGTGGAGGTGAGGTGAATGAAATAGATGAGGTAGCAATGGGCAAATCTGTGATGATGTGTGAAAGTCAAATTGATGGCAGTAAATTATGAATGGAATGAATGATTCGAGAATGAGTGATAGCTAGTCATATAATGAGAATATGAATACAAATAGTATATTTAATCAAACTTCCAATCATATATTAATTACAATAATAGTAAATTTTGATTTAAAGCTTTCATGACTGCAGTAATTCATATTCTTAGCTCTTTCGGTAAAGTCACGTTGAAGGGAAACAATAAAATAATAAAATATATAAAAACCCAATTATATATTTTATTGCTTCCCTTCAATGTGACTTTACCGAAAGAGCTAAGAATACAATAATAGTGTTTAGAAATTTCTTCACTTAATTATTCGTAATTCCTGGATTATTCGGACTGAATATTTGCAGTTAAATAGTGGGAATTACTATAAGAAATCTTAAGGATGAAGCAACACCTTCATCAGGGTCATCCCTCGAGCACTGACATTTCCTTTTATCAGCCATTTTTAAGGATGGTATAAATGAAAAATGCTTTACAAATTTTCACTGAGAATGCACAGAGGTTGAGCACCGGAGCTCGTCGGAAAGGGAGACCCACTCGGCGATGTGCCGTACATTTGTGCACAGAACCGGCACTCGAGTCAGCGTCGTGCCGTAAGTGCCGTCTGATCACCGTCCGTAATAACGTGCGTGTGGCCATTGGCAACCTGCCGTAAGCGCGGATCGACCTGAGTCGAACCGTACTTCAGTCGAGGACCGCCCGCATAATTATACAACCAGTAACTTATACTATACAACCAACAATGATTGATATCGTAACAGTTTGCAATGTCGAAGTATCTTTGGATTACTCTTTGCAGATTCGTATATTAGTTTCACAGACAGGGACGCTACTTCAGCTTTTGAGCGGGGTACATTTTTCAGTATATTGGACTGTCACAGGATTTAATGGGCTCGTTTCAGGGAGTGGGGTGGAACGGACCACATTGGGGTGGCGAACAAGAGGACTGCGACGAGGATGAGCTGACCGATGAGGGCGAACTTGATGAGCTGGATCTGCCTCCGCCCCAAGGGGAGGAGCACTACAGCATCATTTTGCACATGCTGTCTCAGCTCAAGCTCGGCATGGACCTTACTAAGGTGTGCGCAGCATTACCCACGACAAAGAGAGATACCGCGCCACACAGAGCAATGACGCACCGCACCCAACGATACTTCGCACTATTCACAATAACTGCACGAATCCACAACGCAATGCACGATACCACACAGCATTGGCTGTCGTATGCATTCACCCACATGGACAGGTGGTGCTGCCCACCTTCATCCTGGAGTGTCGCTCGCTGCTGGAGATGTTTTCCGACTTCATGGCGCACACGGATGCATTCCTGGCTGTGGCGTGGGGCCAAACTGCAGAGGAGCGCATGTGTCTACTCCTGCAGTACTACCTGTCCTCCTTTCGCGAGGGCCGCAAGGGCGCCGTTGCCAAGAAACCGTACAACCCCATAATCGGCGAAGCTTTCCGCTGCTCTTGGCTCGTGCCGCGTACTTGGGTGATGGCGAAAAGCCGTAAGGAAGTCAGTCCTGGGTCTGTGAAGAACTCACCTGGGTGTGGAACTGAGTCTGACTATAGTTCAGGGGAGAAGCCCGAGCCGAGGTCAAATGTGGCATACCGAAGGACGCGGGCGGGAGGAGAGGATGCCGGTGAAGACGGGTGCTACCGTGTTTGGTTCGTGGCAGAGCAGGTGTCTCACCACCCACCCGTATCGGCCTTTTATGTGGAGTGCGCGGAGCTGGGAATGTGCCTCAACGTACACCTATGGACCAAGAGCAAGTTCCTAGGCATGTCTGTGGGCGTCTCAATGGTCGGGGAAGGTAAGCCAGAGTGTAGCAACGTCATTTACATGAATTATATAATTTGGCGAGTACAGTCTTGCCATCGCCCATTTATCCCAGAGATATTCCACAGCTGGTTATAGTCCAATAATAGTGATATCACAGCCAACATCCCAACTTAGTTGAAAATTATTCGTAATTAAATTACAATAATGCTCCAATAAACACTCACGTTTCTCTTTCAACAGATATATACATTAATATCCTCATAGAAATTACATTAAATCTCGGTACTTCATTTAGAAGACACACAAGGATTTGTACAATAAATCTAATCGTGTGTATGGCAACCAGAGACTGTTTTAGCTGCAAACTCCGCTAACCTGGTTGATTCTACAGGCATGCCTGCATGCCTCCCTTTGCTTATCACTGACTAATAGCAGCGTGATCTTCACAGGGAGGTTGTGGCTGCAGGAGCACGGCGAGGAGTACGTATTCACGCTGCCGAGCGGATACGCTCGCTCCATTCTCACCGTACCCTGGGTGGAGCTGGGAGGAAAAGTGTCCATTACCTGTGCCCGCACTTGCCTTGCTGCTTCCGTAAATTTCCACACCAAGCCCTTCTATGGAGGCAAGCTGCACAGGTGAAAAGGGCAGTAAGATAGCAGCGGTATAATGGGTACTACATGAATTACACTTAAGCATTGGAAGACTGGATGACACAGAAAAGGTGTACAGGAAACCCTTGTTAATTCGACACATTTGGGTCTGTGGCCTTGCCGAATTATCCATTATTCCGAATTATGTACAATGGTACTCCCGAGTGCCTCCTGCCCCAATAAAGAAAAATCCAGTGTGTTTTCCAAACTCTTCATACACCATATGCATTGACACACCTTCATCAATTATATCCACAATTTTGGATTTGTCTCAGAGACTAAAGGATTTATACTTCAGTCCCTTTCCATTACTTCTTAGGTGCAGACGACATTTCTGAGAGGGTTGGCTTGCACAGAGTGCATCAACAAGGTAAAGTCCAAAGCAACAGGTCTGCAGTAACGCTCACCACGCACGCCGCCACTCGACTGAGTCGTTGTTTTGGTCGTGGCGCGTGGAGTCCACGCGTATGCGGAAATTGGATCATTCGGTACGGCAGTTCGGCTCATGGAAAATTACTAACATGCTATATATGTCGAAAGTGCACCCGTGCCAAATTATCCCCAATTACGAATGATCATATACCGAAATAACAAAGTTTTACTGTATTTGGATCAGCAGCCGAGTCTTTGGTAAATTAGTTTATGCAGCATGTGCACAAGTTATGAGGTTGTTTAGGTGGACACACCCCATAGAGGTCATTAGAATGAATTGGTTCATAAGTATGCGGAGGTAACAGGTGGAAATGATATGTGCAGATAACGGGCTGCAGAAATCAATGACTGAAGTTGTGTTCCCCTTTCCTTTAATACAGGAGTAACGTTTTACATAATTGTACTTAGAGCAATGCTAATTTTTTTAACTGAAGGCCATTCATAATGTATACAGTAATGGTTGACGGACAAATATAATAGTTGACACTGATATGATACTGGTCATTTGAGTTTGATTTCTGGCCAGGCATATCTGAACTTGGTTATGGACAACCCCAAGATAAATTCAGCCTAAAATGAGTAGTGCATTGCGCATAAGCACTTGGTAGATGAAAGCAGGCCGTCGAGATGCCAGCCATATCACACCTCTGCCAGCCTTGATAGTTGTGAAATAAAAACAATCCCCAATATCTACAATGTTGGATGCTGCCATAGTGGAATGGTTAGCACACTGGATTTAAGAAATTCCCCATATCTGTCCACACAGAAGTATAAATAGGTCTACCACATATTCTTAGCTCTTTCGGTAAAGTCACGTTGAAGGGAAACAATAACGTGACTTTACCGAAAGAGCTAAGAATATGAATTACTGCAGTCACGAAAGCTTTAAATCAAAATTTAGGTCCACCACAGTTGATTAGCAGGTCGCAAATGGTGGGGAAAGTGTGCGTACCCCCCACCTCTTCCAAGATGCCTAATCAGCACGGAAGAGTAGGCCAAATACTCCATCTATTGAAGGCCTTTCTGCCAGAAGTGACATGAGCTATACATTACAAGCCGGGCACATTTACCATTTTTACCTATAAGGTTAAATGCCACACCTGACATTTTTGTCCATGCGTGCGTCTCAGGGTGACTGCCGAGGTGCGACACGTTGAAGAGGGGGCTGTACTCGCACGTGCTCAAGGCGAGTGGAATGGCCTGCTGGAGTTCACCACCACCTCTGGGGAGACGGTCATCATGGACACGACCAAAATGCTCATTATTCCCAAACATGTGCAGCCAATCGAACGCCAGGAGCCCATGCACTCCCGGTAAGCTGTCCTGCTTTCTGAACCTTGGTTGACCTATCATCGTGCCCCTATCCTTTTTGTATCACTGCTAGCCAGTCCCCTTACTCAACCCTGTTATGCATTCACTCTGTTGTGCGCTGTGCGCACCTGCCATTCGGACATGTATTGACAATTCTTGGAGGGATGCATTTGTGGCCGATGATGGAAACATTGACTTCGTCTGTGTTTTGTGGTTGTGCCAGTTGGGGCTTATGGAATCGAGAGTTTTTATTTTTCAAGGTCATTCTCCGGTGTAGCGTGATATTCTGCCATCTTCAGGACATTAATGGAATTGACTCTCGTCCCCCTGCTTCTAGTCGTAAAAGTGGGATAGATTTGGTATTTTTTTTAAGTGTATTAAATCAAATTATTGTGAACATAGCTGAATCAACGTACATAGTATACAATTTAAATTGTTATCAATATTGTTTTTGGAAGTGATACTATCCAATCATAGTTGCTCTTAATTGCAAGATAAAAGACTTATCTTTTTCGGCTTTCCTTGCTGATGACTCTCACATCCATCCATTCCCCTGAGTGATAAAACTGCTATTAACTATTTTTTTAATTTACCAGGTAAGGCCCACTGAGCTGTACAGCTCTTTTTCAGAAGCGACCTGGCCACAAATGATAGCCCAACGAAGTGGCTTATGTGGGAAATTTATAGCAGCCAAATATGCTGAACGCACGTTTATTGTGGAAGGAAAAATCAGATAAAAATCCACGTGATCATGGGGAAAACATGCAAACTCCATATATATAGGTGTCTGGGTCGGGATCTAACCCACGACCTCCTGTAATCCAGGCGAGGTAATTCACATCTCGCCAACGTGACGCCCACGTCTTGCCACCGATCGCACCTGAGCCAGCCTCTCGTCCTGCGCCAGGCGGCTGTGGCAGCAGGTGACGTCAGCTCTGCGTGCCGGTGACATCGCGTCCGCAACGGAGCATAAGCACAAGCTGGAGGAGTGGCAGCGTGCTAAGGAGCGGGCACGTGTGCAGGCTGGCACAGAGCACGTGCCTAAGTACTTCCTCCGTGAAGTGAGTGGGCCCCAGAAACCATTGATGAGGACTGTATGAGCATGTGTATGGGTGTGTGGGAAGCGGTAGTGCAGTGGTTCGCGCACTTTGCTACGAACCAGGCGACCCGAGTTCAATTCCCTGCTCACGGCCAACATCAGGGATGGATATCTGACTTGGTTCTGGGCCTCTCCTAGGTCGACTGAGCCAAAAATTAGAACTTGATGCATTGTGTAAAAATCACCAAAGATGGGTGGGTATGGTGCTGGCCATCCACTCCCTCGTGTGCCATGTTGGCCTTCAAAAGTGCTCGCTAACAGCACTTGCCCCAACTGTCTGTTAAAGGCTATAAGGGGGTTTTTGTGTATGTGTTTGTGTGGAATGGTAGCACATTCCGTACACTACTATATTACCAATTGTGGTTCCATTCTTGACCCTACACATCAGTGGTACATTGCATATGAAACTCTTGTTCCTTGCTGAGCATGACTCAGCCTTAAATGGTTACCTGCTGGAATTTATCGTCATTGGCATATCAGAATCGTAATCAGAATATTTATTTATACTGGAGGAATCTGATGAGCTATAAAGCTCTTTTTCCACAGATGTTCAGTAGATGTGAGACGGATTAATCGGTGTGATGTTAGCAACACCATCTTCACCTGAGCTGTAGCTTGGCTTAGTTTGTGCTTACTAACAATACATTCTATAACTTACTGCCAGACTATACTGGAAATATTTGTAAATGTGTGCCCTTCAAAGAAATTCAGTTGAGAGGGTGTGCTGGTGTGAATATCAAAGAAAATACATCTGAGAGGCGTTTTCATTATCCATTCTTATAATGGAACATGCATACAGCAGCAACCTGTCATAAACTATGTATGAAACTGTAGTTGCATATTACGTCCAGGTAATACGATGGGATAGGTTAAAGCAGTTTAACATGCTGATGAGACGGTGCTCGTAATTTAAATGGCAGAATTTGTTTCAATAAAATATATCCAGGGCATTTCAGTGTGAATGGGGAAGACTTATGTGGTGGGGAGGGTGTGCATGCTGGTGGTGTAAGGCAGTCTGTGTACATCATATGACTCGACATGTGCGGTAATGTGCATGTGTTTTCTTTGTACATGTATTTATTTGTGTGTGTGGATGTGTGTGTACACCACAGGGAGAAGGTTGGGTGTACCGTCATCCTTTGTGGAGGAACTCCTGAGTGACCTCTCTCAGTAAGGAATCCCCTTCCCCGTACCCATTGCACGTCCTAGCCTGATTGAGTGTTTGCTTCTGCCAGGAGGTGCTCTTAGACTTGCATCCGGCTTAAGGAGTTGGACTTAAATCTCCCAATGGCAGAGCTGAAGCCCTCTCTCAAACCACCTTGATCCATACGTCCATTTGCTCGCGCTACAGCACTGTGATTGTGTACTTGAAAGACATTGTATTTATTTATATTTATTTGAGTTTTGCCACATTTGAATTGACTGCTGTGAGAGCGTACACTCTCTGGTGAGACGTTTTTCGAAAATGATGGATGTTATCAAAATGTAACTGCATAGTTAAGCTATCAAAAGGTATTTTTTTCAAAGATACTTTACAAAAGTGTTAAAAGAAATGTAAAAATGAAGTTTAACACGTATGCTTTCGCGACCAGTATTATTCATAATAAAGGTTTTTGGGTTAGATCGCGTTATTTATAAATGTGTTGCAACCCTCCACTACCCGACACGGCCAATTAGTAAAAAATGTGTCACGTTAACAAAACGCCAATTAGTTACTTCTTCAGTGTTTGAAGAGTGAATCCACAACATTTAGAATTTGAGTACGACGTTTCACTGGTAATCACATCCAGCAACTTCGGGCGATTTGCCAGAATAGTGAAGCCATCCACCTGCTTCCGGTCTTAAATAGAGCAGGTTGACGTCATAATTGTTGAACCCCATCAGGTTTCGAGATCAGAGGCGGAGGTGGGGGGGGCTATTGTAAATATATAATAGATTAGGATTCAGTTTATTAGTATGTGATTCCTCTATAAGGAATTGTAATATGTATTGTGTATTACTTAATAATACGCTTCCAGACTGAGCTAAGTCTTTAGCTATCAGAGAGATTAAAATTATTTTTATTTTTCTCAATTTCAATGGATTATCTAATTAGTCTTAGCCAGTAATAATTAGTTTTGCTTAACACTTCAACGTTATCAACATCAATTGAGTGTCCTTATTGCCAAGCATGTTCTGCTACTGCTGACAGTTGTGTTTGAGATAATTTTAATGTTACTTTGGTGTTCTTTGAGTCTTACGCTAATGTTACATCTCGTCTGTCCAATATAGCATTTACCACAAGCATATCGGATCAATTGCTTATGCGGTAAATGCTATATTGGACAAACGGGACATAACATTAGCGTAAGACTAAAAGAACACCAAAGTAACATTAAATGATCTAAATCACAACTGCCAGCAGTGGCAGAACATGCGTGCCAACAAGGACACTCAATTGATTTTAATAACGTTGAAGTGTTATGCAAAACTAATTATTACTGGCCAAGACTAATTAGAGAATCCATCGAAATTGAGAAAAATACAAATAATTTTTATTGCTCTGATTGCTACAGACTTAGCGCAGCCTGGAAGCGTATTATTAAGTAATACACAATACATATTACAATTCCTTATAGAGGAATCACATACTAATTAACTGATTACTAATCTATTATAATTACAATACCCGCCGTCTCTGATCTCGAAACCTGATGGGGTTCAACAATTATCACGTCTTCCTGCACTATTTAAGACCGGAAGCAGGTGGATGGCTTCACTCTTCTGGCAAATCGCCCGAAGATGCTGGATGTAATTACCAGCGAAACGTTACGGTGCTCAAATTCTAAATGTTGTGGATTCACTCCTCAAACACACCGGTGGGCTGAAGAAGTAACTAATAGGCGTTTTGTTAATGTGACACATTTTTTACTGATTGGCCGTGTCGGGTGGTGGAGGGTTGCAACACATTTATAATAACGCGATATCACCCAAAAACCTTTATTATGAAAAATTAAGTTGCAAAAGCAATCTCTCGTAAATATTTCCATATTGTGTTGTTTGTAGGCATTTAAAATATCAAAAAATAAGTGGACACTATTTTGCGTACACACACTATCTTGAGCCATCTAAGAAACATTCACTTGAATAAAATCCAGAGATGAGATTAATGCCTAACCCGCAACTCCGATTAGCACGGTTGGCTACGTACGTTGCGAATGAAGTTCAAAATACTAACATACGTAATGCCATTTTAGATACGTTGTGACTTCACTCGTGTGAGGAAAATTAAACACCGCGTCGACACATTTTCTAATTTGAACTGAACCATCAGTCATGAATGCACCGTGCAGCCGCACAATCGGAAAATTGCCGACATACGAAAAGGCGACACCCGCGTACCTTTGTAAGCAGTCTTATCCCTAAAAAAAAAAACAGCAAGATGAATGAGAATGTGCAACTGCATGTTTGGCCATGCCAAAGAGAGTGGGAATTGCACGTCTTTCATCTTCGCGGCGAACGGACAACATTAAGTGTTAAAAAAAATTGTTTACGTCTTTACGTATAAACTTAGTTTTTTGTGTGTGTGTGACAACATTCGCCTGCTTTTCGTGCTCACAAATGTGTTTCAGTATTACACAGCGCCATGTCACTCGCACATGGTAAGTAACATGGTGTTAAGGGTCCTGTTGACAATATGCAATCATATACTTGTGTCAGGGTGTTTGATTGCAA